GCGAGAGAGTCTGTTCATTATGGCGATGATGACGATGACGAAGAGGACGATGATGCTGATGATGATGATGATGATGATGATGATGATGATGATACTGGTGATGCTGCTGATGATGATGCTGACGCTGATGCTGAGAGTGATGAGGATTATGATGCTGATGATGATGGTGACGATGATGATGCTGATGCTGATGCTGCTGTTGATGCTTATTCTGATGATGCAAATGATGATGGTGATGCTGATGATGTTACTGATGATGATACTGATGATGATGCTGCTGCTGATGATGATGATCATGATGATGGTGATGGTGATCATGAGTATTATGATGCTAACGAAGATAAGCATAATGATGCTGATGATTATGGTGGTGATGATGACGATGATGCTGATGATGCTGCTGGTGATGATGATTATTATTGTTTGTCGTATGTTGGTTATGCTTCTGCTGAGAAGTAGGAGGAGGACGAGGAGGACGACGAGGCAGAGAGGAGGAGAGGAGCCGGGCGAGACGAGAGGGGCGAGGAAGCCGAGGAGGAGAGGAGGGGAGAACGTGGAGGGGCGAGGAGGAGAGGGAGGCCGTGGGGAGTCGCGTCCGTCCGCCCGCCCATCCCCCCCCCTGCCGCCCCCACCCGGCACGCCCCCCGTGCCCTGCCCCGAGGCGGACCTCGCGGAGGCCGGCGCGGGCTCCGCGTCGGGGTCCTCGGACGAGGCCGCGGGCCGCAGCCAGCCGGGCTTGGACGCGAAGGGGGGGGGGCGGGCAGCGGGGGGGTCCAGGGTGGGCGTTGGTGGGTGGCAGGCTCATGTCGTGTACAGTGGAGACCCATGCCAAGAAACAACCTGCTTGCCTCCAGGGTGCCCTGGGTTTCTTGGGTTTCGATGGTTTTGCTATGGACAGCGTGACGTTCCCACACCAAAAATCCATGGACGTCCTGGGGTCTCAGGGTTGGGTTTCTTGTGGAAGGTTTCTTGTGGTCGGGCCTCCACTGTATGCATGGTGAAGTAAAGGTTTCAATGTTGACATAACAGTGTTTGAACGTGAGATACGTAAATACACTACCCAACTACACTACGTACAAACACACTACGCGGATACAACACGCAAAAGCATTACGCAAAAGCACGACGTGGATTCTTTCACACTTCGGCGAACCTCTCCAGGCCCATGGGGCGATGCATCGGCCTCCAATCGCCCACTGATCGTCGAGCAGGGGACGATAGCCCACCCCGTTCAGCAGCGTGCGGTTTCGCTATCGGGAGCGTTTCCTCGATCCATTGGCGACATGGCGATCACCCGCCGATTCCATGCCGCGGTTTCCCCCCTCTGGGCTGGTTCCCCCCCCTACGTTCCCACGTGGTCCCCTGGTGAGGGACAGGGATCCTGGAGGAAAAGTGACCTGGATTCCTTTCCCCCCCCCTGGGTTGGTTTCGCCCCACGTTCCTGCGGTGTCCCTCGGCGAGGGGCAGGGATCCTGGAGGAAAGGGGTGACCTGGCTTCCCCCTCCCCCGTGCCCTGTCCCTCCGGGCCCCCCGGGGGGCCGCCCGCGCCCCGGCCCCCTCCCCCCCCCCCGCCCGCGGGCAGGCGTGAGCGAGTCCCGGGGATGGCCGTGGAGAGCGCCGAGATGGAGCGACGGCCCTGGGCTTTTTTGCTTTCCCAGGGCTGGGCTGCTGTAAGGGCTGGTCCCAGGGCCCTGGCGCTGGGTCTGGGCTCTGGGACCAGCGCTGTAAGGGCTCTGGGTCTGCTGGGCCCTGTGGACTGCCCCAGGGCCCTGTTGCTTTCCTCTACAGCAGGCGCGTGGGAGACATATCCCAACGGCATGTCCCGACGACACGTCCCGCCCGGGCAGGTGTGAGCGAGTCCTGGGGATGGCCGTGGAGAGCGCCGAGATGGAGCGATGGCCCTGGCGAGAAGCCCTGGGCCCCAGGGCCCTGTTGCTTTCCTCTGCAGCAGGGCGCGTGGGAGACACGTCCCAACGGCATGTCCCGATGACATGTCCCGAGGCACCAGCCCCTTTTGCTTTCCTCTACAGCAGGGCGCGTGGGAGACACGTCCCAACGGCATGTCCCGATGACACGTCCCGAGGCACCAGCCCCTTATCGGCAAGTGCCCCAGGGACAGGCCTTACGGGGCCCCTTTCCTGTACGGAAAGAAGACACAAGCCTACCAGCCGGTGTCCCATGGGTACGCCCTTTCCCCTGAGGGGCCTAGGGACCCACGAAAACCCTGGGGCGCTTCAGGGCCCTGACGGTTCGACGAAGAATGCGCCCCGAGAGTAACATAATTTCTTGGTTGCATGTGTCTATTGTAAGCCGCCCTCGTCTTTTTTCTTCCCCCTTGCATGCCAGACCATTCGCCTGTCGGTTGCCCCGAAGAGCACCACGCTGGAGCGGACTGCCTCTGCTTACCCGCCGCCGACGAACAAAAATGTTCACTGTGGGCCCTCCTTGCTCTCGCCAATCTCCCTCGCTCCCAGACCCCCGACGTCATGATTTTTTCCTTAAGTCGACCCCCAGAGGTTTTTTTACATATTCCCCGCGACCAGTTTTTCATCCTGAGCAGTTTTGGGACGGTCCCGAGGCCCGGCGAGGGCCCCCAGAGGCCGAAAATACTACATGCTCGGGTCGGACACGCGCCTCCCCAGACCGCCGACGTCGTGTTTTTTTTGTTCTTCTTTCACAACGTCGACCCCAGAGAGGTCTGGACCAGTTCCCCGGGACCGGTTTTTCATCCTGAGTCGTCCTTTGACGGCCCCGAGGCCCGGTGTCGAGGCCCCCAGGGGCCGAGAGTGGCGACACGCCTCCCGTGTCGTGATTCTGGTCGTTGCTCAACGGGGGTCGGGGCTTCTGCGGCCCGCTCCCTGGGGCCGCGCGCCCCCGCCGGCCCGAGAATTATGTCGGGCCTGTCCCGCTACAGAGGGATTGTCAACGAAAAATTAAAAATACCCCCAAAATACCCCCAAAAGGTCAAAAAGTATTCAAACAATAATCCCCAGACTCTTTTTGGACTATTCTTTGATCATGTGTGGGGTACTTTTTATTTTTCGTCCAAAATCCCTTCGTAAGGGGGACAGGCCCGACAAGCCCGTAGGAGGAGGAGGAGGAGGAGGAGGAGGAGGAGGAGGAGAAGCAGGAGGAGGAGGGGGAGGAGGAGGAGGAGGAGGAGAAGCAGGAGGAGGAGGAGGAGGAGGAGGAGGAGGAGGAGAAGCAGGAGGAGGAGGAGGAGGAGGAGAAGCAGGAGCAGGAGGATGATGATGAGGAGGAGGAGGAGGAGGAGGAGGAGGAGAAGCAGGAGGGGGCGTGCGGCACGGGCCGGGCCTGCAGTAGACGTTCGAGCCCCCCCAAAAAAGTGTACCGGAACTCGAGGGTGTTCGCGCGTCGGGCCCTGGGAGGCGCTCGTCCGACAGTGTTTCGACATTCTTTCGACACTCTTTCGACACTTTTTCGGGTGCTCGAAAGTACCTCTGGGATGTGGTCCCTGGTACGACGGCAGCAACATAAGACGAGAGACGAGCTGAGGGGCATCGCCTTGTTTCGTGCTGTATTTCTGTGGCTAACGCTCTTCTGCACGAGCGTGCATATCTGGAGTCTTCGCCCTGCTCCAGCAGGCGGCGTCGACGGGAGTCGGCCTCGAATGCATCAGGCTTGCCTCCTTACGCCGCGATGTATAAAGGAGCGCCAGCCCCGGAGAGGAGGCAGATATCGGGAGCTTCCGGCAGCCTGTGCGGCAAGGGCTGGTGCAGTAAACACACGAGAAAGAGATCGGCCTGCAAGCGGGTGCCCCACGGAATTGGGCCAAAATGTGCGGCCACGTTCGCAGGACAGGCCTGCTGGTTGGAGCGCACCTCGACGTTGGATCTGTTGCGGTTTTACCTCTTTCAGTCCTTCGCCGGTGCGTCCCCGTACTCTGGCCTGGAGTACCGATGCGACCAGAGTGTTGAATGGATTGGTCGCCGTCTACTCTTTCTTCGTCTTCTTCTTCTTCAGTGCCCCACGGAAGCGCCTCACTCCCCCGATGCCGCTCCGGGGGGCTCCCGGTCGCGCTGGGGCACCTCAGGACCCACGAAGATCGCCGGAGAGTGCGCCCGACATTCTCCAGAGCGTGAATTACTTACCCCGCTTTCGCTTCCAGGCAAAACCAAGCCATACCACTCGCCTCCTCGTCAAGCGGCCTGACCAGTACAGGCTGCAATTTGGCATCGTTTGGTATCTCTTGGAAGCGAGGGTGGTCAAAAGCGAGGTAGGTTTGTTTTCCCCCCGTTCTCCTGGCTCTCCCTCCCCCTCTCCCCCTCCCTTCTCTCCCCCCCCTCTGCCACAGGGCGCCCCGAGGATGGTGCAAACAAGACAGCGCCCAGCGCTCTCTTCACAGCACGACCTCGGCTCTCGTGCGCCTCGCCCGTGCCGCGGGCGCGCCTCGCTCCTTCCCTCCCTGGCGCGCGAGGCCTCCGGGGGCCCCAGGCCCCCCCCTCGAAACGGCAGCGAGGAGCTCCCTCGCCCCCGCCGTCCTCTCGCTCCCTCTCTCTCGCTCTCTCGCTCCGAAGCGGCAGCGAGGAGCTCCCTCGCCCCCTCCGTCCTCTCGCTCCCCCTCTCTCGCTCTCTCTCTCTCTCTCTCTTGTTCTGCGGCCGCCCGGGGCTCCCGACCGCCGGGCGTCGGCCCGAGGAGGCCGGAGAGAAGCCCCGACGAGGGCCCCTAAGACGCCCCCCCCCCCCCCCGGAACGGCAGCGAGGAGCTCCCTCGCCCCCTCCGTCCTCTCGCTCCCCCTCTCTCTCGCTCCTCTCTCTCCTGCTCTTCGGCCGTCTGGCGCTCCCGACCGCCGGGCGTTACGGCCCGAGGAGGCCGGAGAGAAGCCCCGACGAGGGCCTCTTAAAAAGACGGGCCAAGGGGTCTCCAACGTGGTCTTGCAGCGCCCCAGGGGCCAGCAAGGTCCTCCTCCTCCTCCTTGTCCTCCTCGTCCTCCTCCTCCTCCTCCTCCTCCTCCTCCTCCTCCTCCTCCTCTTTCCGTAGCCATTTTGGCTCAAGCGCGGCCGCGCGCCATCCGCCTCCCGCCCGGGGGGTGGCTTGGGACCCGCGGCCCCCCGCCCTCATCGGGAAGCGCCGTGCTCAGGGCCATGCGGCCATGCGGTGGCTCGGTGTTCTGGGCACGGACGTGGACCACGAGCACGATCATTTCCAGGCCGCACCCATCGACCGCCGGCTCGCCACCAACTTTTGGGCCCCGGCGACAGGCGGGGACTACTGCTTAGGCGCGCTTCCAAGAGCTGGGCGCGGCGCTGGCGGCTCCACGTTCCTCTGGGGCGGAGCGGGGCCGCACCCAGCCCCAGGCATAGATCTCGGAGGTCTCCGAAAAAAGAATTTCAGCGCGACGGCGTTCCAGACTGACGACAAGGCCGTCCTGTGGAGCCGCTCGGGGCCCGGCGCCAGGTACAAGGACACGCGGGCCAAGCGCACGGGCTTCATAGGCGCAGAAGACGCCGAGCCGAAGGGCAGGAAGAAGGCGACGAGCTTCGGGAAGAAGAACGAGGAGGAGGAGGAGGACGAGGAGCCCGGCTCGTCGACGAGTGTGGGGACCGCGAAGTCAAAGAAGAAGCCCGAGAAGCGCTCCAAAAGCTCCAAGAGGGAAGATGAGGAGGACGAGGCCGAGGAACCCGACGAATCTTCCTCGGGCACGGGCACGAAGAAAGAAAAGAACAAGGAAACGGACAAGGGCAAGGCAGATGATGAGGACGAGGAGAACGACGGAGAGAAGTCGACGCCTGATTCGGATTCGCAAACAAAAAGATCAAAGAAGATGGCGAGAGAAGAGGACGAGGAAGGGGGTCCTGATGAGGAGGAAAGCCCCGACGAGGACTCAGCAGGCAAGAAGGGTAAGACCAACGACACGTCCGCGCTAGCCGTTAGCTTCGAAGGCGAGAAACGGAAGCCGAAGGTGAACAAGGCAGAGGAAGATGTCTCAGAAGATGCCGAAGAGCCGAACGGTGAGGACGAGGAGACTGCTAAGAGGGATGAAGGGCTGGACAAGCTGAGCTGCAAAGAGCTCAAGGCTAAGGTGAATGCTGATGAAGAGGACGCATCTGCTAAGTTGGGCAATGCAACGAAGGACGAAGAAGAGGGGATTAAAGAAGTTGCAGAAGCATCAATGACCAATAACAAAAAGAAGAAACTAGAGTTGGAAGAACAGGCAGCACAGCGCGAAGAAAGGGCAGAGGAGGAAGCAGATCTCGTAGAGGAGGACATGGAACAAGCTGCCAAGATCCGAGCTCTGATAAAGAGTAAGTGCGGCCGAAAGGCTGCCGCCGAGGAGGACGAGAACGTCGAAGAGCCAATTCCCGATGGGAATGCCAAAACAGAGGAGCCGAAGGAAAACTGAGTGACACTCCCGCCGAGCTAGGTAGTTCTAGCTGCTGGCGGCGTGGATCTCCCTTCCTCTCTGGAAAAAGTGGCGGTATCGAGGGGCAGCACATTGGAGGACAGGGGGTCAAAGCCTCTCCTCCTCCTCCTCCTCCTCCTCCTCCTCCTCCTCCTCCTCCTCCTCCTCCTCCTCCCCTCCTCCTCCTCCTCTCCTCCTCCTCCCTCCTCCTCCTCCTCCTCCTCCTCCTCCTCCTCCTCCTCCTCCTCTCCTCCTCCTCCTCCTCCTCCTCCTCCTCCTCCTCCTCCTCCTCCTCCTCCCTCCTCCTCCTCCTCCTCCTCCTCCTCCTCCTCCTCCTCTCCTCTCCGTCTCCTCCTCCTTCCGCCTCCTCCTCCTCCTCCTCCTCCTCCTCTTCCTCCTCCTCCTCCTCCTCCTCTCTCTCTTCTCCTCCTCCTCCTTTTCCTCCTCCTCTCCTCCTCCTCCTCCTCCTCCTCCTCTCCTCCTCCCTCCTCCTCCTCCTCCCTCCTCCTCCTCCTCCTCCTCCTCCTCCTGCTCCTCCCAGGAAGGCCCACGTGCCATCGCAACGAGCCGGTGTGGTCAGGCTCTGTTCTTCCTCCTCATCCTCCTCCTATTCCTCCGCCTCCTCCTCCTCCTATCAGGGTCCGTTTCGACCCGGTTGAGCCGATTCGATATCGGAAGCCAGCACGATCCGATTCGGTTCCGTCTGTTTTGGCGAGCCGATGCGGCCCGGTGTTTGGCGTGGCGCCACAAAGCATCTTGAAGAGGCGATGCGATGTTGACTGGTCCTGCCTCCTCCATAGACATGAGCGGCTCGATGACGGTCGGGAGTTTCTAAATCACAGTCAAGATTTGAAGACGAAGCATCGCTATAAACATTGAGCGCTCAGCGCAGATTTCTTGGAGCCGCGCTGGGCCCCCCCGGCGGTGCCTCCAGCGCCGCCCCTGGCGCGCTCCGCGCGTCAGGGAGGGGGGTCCGGCGCGGATCCAAGATATCTGCGCGGGTCGCCAAAAGTATATGGTTATATTTGTTGTTGTCTTCTTCTAAAGACGTTTAAATAAGGAACAGTTTGGACACGAAAGTGGCTCGATGCTCCTCAGGTTATTATGTGTTTGTTGCTCTTCTCCTGCTTATGCGCGCTGGCGCTCCTAGAGCCCGAAAGGGGCGCCGTCCCCTGTTTACCGTTCCATATTTCAGCGGCCCGACTGTAGCGTTTCGCACCGCCGGTTCTGACCCACCACGCATCGGCGCGACATGCTAACCACGTCCCAGTCCCCCAGCAGCAGTGTCCCGAGCCTTTTTTAAGCCTCCCGTCCCGCCCCCTGGGAGCGACACGCGACCTGCTCGCAGGGCATAATTCGCGTGTTACCAGGGGCCGCCGCCGTGACACGCTGAGCAACAGTTCTTGTCCGCAGCTGTGACACATGCTGTGTCCCCTGCAGGAGCGGCGGCAGCAGCTGCGTGCTCTTCCCTCCTGTCAGGAGCAGCGGCGGGGCAGCAGAAGCAGCGGGTCGCCCGCCGGCGCGGCGCATCCGTTGGGTAGGAACCTCCAAAATTTGCAACCTGAAACTTTCTCCTCCTCCTCCGTTCAGAGGGTGAGTTGAGACAATGATGGTTGTTGGCCTTCGGGGGGGCCTCTTCGTCGCCACGGCTGAGCGCAGCTCGGGACGCTGGTGCATTTGGACTCCGGGAGGGGTCCGGGGACCGGTTCTGAGCTGCCCTTGCCTCACCTTGCCTTGCTCCGACCCGCGCAGGCATCCATGGAAGCGCTGACGTCGTTGTTGGACCGCCCGCAGTGCCGGAGAGGCTCCCCGAGCCCCTGCAGCCCAGCGACAGAGTCGGCTGCGCGAATTGCGCCTCGCGTTTTCGTGGAAGCAGCGATCTCACGTATGAACCGTTTTCTTATTCATTGTTTTGCCCATCGGCGCGGGCCCCCTAATCCCCCCTCCCCCCCCCCATTCAGTAGATCTTGGCTGTTTTTTGGCGCCTGTTTCGAGCAGGTGGAGTCTCCCCCATGGGGCGCACTGTTGCAAGCAGACGCGTTAAGCACAGGTCTGGAGCCAGACCCCCCCCTCCCCCCCTTTCCGCCCAGAGTCGAAACGCTGGGTAAACGCTCACATGGCCGTCACAACCATCGCCATCACTAGTATAAGGTCCGTGCCATCGCTGGCGTCGGTATCGGCGCCGCGTCGGCCATCCCCCCGCAGCAACATGCATGGGGCTTCTGGCTTTCGGAGGGTCTAGCTGATCAGGCTGGAATGTGTTCCCGTGCTTCTTCCCATGCGCTTCATTGCGCTAGCAGCTGGCAGTGAAGAGGTAAGGATCGAGTCGACACATTGATGAACCTCTTATCAATCACCATTACAGCCGTCAATCACCACTGCCACCAATCACGATTGCTCTTCAGGATCCAAGCCGTCTCCAGAGAGAAGTGTGGCACACATGGCTGGTGCGTCGAGCACAAGCAACCCTGCTGAGTGCAACCACTGTTTGCACTGACTTTGCACTTCGCTTGGGAAGGCAACTGCTTCCCAGGGAGGAGGGGGAAGCATAGAGTGACGACGGGGTGGCTCTGGGGGGGCAGCTGCGAGGCATCTGCGACAAGGCGATTCCCCAACAAATGTGGGACACTAGATACCTCAAGACTTGTTGGCACACTTGTATTCTCATGCGCGGCTCACTACTCGCCACGATGGGGTGGCTTGAAATTCTCAGCGCCTTCCGCGCTGCAAGATAGAGAGCCGACGCTGCAATGTAGCAGCCCGGTGCTGAGAGCTCCCGGGGGCAGTCGCGAGCAGCTGGCGGTTGGAGCTGACTTGCAGCTCAGGCGTCTCATTGATGGATCAAATTTCCACCACCATTATTACAGGTAGGAGAGGATGGAAGAGGAAGAGGAAGAGGGGCAGGAGGCGGATAAAAAGGAGGAGGAGGAGGAGGAGGAGGAGGAGCAGGAGAAGGAGGAGGAGCAGGAGTAGAAGGAGGAGAAGGAGGAGGAGGAGGAGGAGGAGGATGAGGAGGAGTAGGCGGAGGAGGAGGAGGAGGAGCAGGAGGAGCAGGAGGAGGAGGAGCAGGACCTCCTCATCCTCCCATCCTCACCGTCCTGCCTATTGCATTGGTGGTGGATCATTTGCCCATCACTCACGGCTCAGAAGGGGGGAAAAGGAGAGGGAGAAAGGAGGAGGACAAGGTTGAGGAGAAGGAGGGCCTTTTGCACATTGCCTGCGTTGCCTGCATTGCCTGCATCTCGCCACCGGAGGCTTCGTCCTGCAGGGCTTCCCGAGCACCGTGGCCCAGGCTACGAGGTCGTCCTGGGTTGGGTTTGCATGCGTGCGCTCATGGGCGTCGTTATTGCTGCGAGAGTTATTGTGGTCGCGATGGTGGTATGGTCGACGTCGAACATGGTCAGTGGTGGCTGCACTGTGAGTTATGATTGGGCCAGCCTCGATGCTCGATAATATTAGTTCGATGGGTGGACTTCACGCCGAGTCACCTCTTGGCGCTGGATTCTCCAGCCGCAGCCCCAAATATTCTTGCCTCGCTGAGTCTGTCCTAGCAAGGCGCGCTCAGAGTCGCGGCTGTTGTTCGTTGCGCATGCCCTTCGCACTTCCCGTCCTCATGTTTCAGGAGTTTAACCTGGTTCTCGGGATGATTCGATTACCTCCCTTTCAGGCCTCCCACGATGTGTACACTTGGATCTCTCTCTCTCTCTCTCGTTCTGTCTCCTTCTCTCTCTCTCTCCCTTTATGTCTTTGTCTCTCTGTCCCTCCCTCTTTCTTGTGACACTTATCTTGAGTGTCCTCTGTCTCTTGTTCTCTCTCTCTCTCTGACTCTCTGTCTTTTTCTTTGTCTCTCTCTCTATCACTCTCTCTTTCCTTGTGTAGATATTTGTGTTGCACATGTATCCGTGAAACTGTAAGGCTGTATCTGAATGATTTCTGCCTCTGCCTTGATGTAGACGCGTGAAGGAAACCCTTGGATGATTACCCTCGGTCTTTTATTCGTGACCCCTCGTCGACATCCTGGGCAGTGTTACGAGTAGCGCGCTCAGCAATACTTTTCCACTGGTTACGAGTAGGCAGTGTTCTTGGGCAGTGTTACTATCATTGACCATCTCAGGTAAGCGTTCGACTCAGCATCCCTCTCTCTCTCTCTCGTTTTGCTCTCTCTCTCTCTCTCTCGCTCTCTCTGTCTCTTTCTCACGCTGCCTCACCACCGGCTTGCTACCTCTTGCCCCTGCCGCTCCGCCTCCCAAGGCGGCCATGCGTCTAAGGTCTGGCTGATGGTGCCCGCACACCTCGGGAACATTTGCGACACACACACAAGGAATCCTGATACAACTCCCAATGGGACCCCTGAGTGCCGTCTAAGATTCCCAAGATGCCTCAGGTCACACACATACACACCACACAGCTCCCAACAGGACACCCGAATGCCTTCCAGGAGTCCCAGGATGCCCAAGGGCAGCCCCAAACGGTCCCCAGAAAACCCCTTGGCGCCGAAGGTCCCCAATGATCCCCACGGCTTCCGCTTCTGCCGTAGACGGGCTAACGGCGATGTCGGTCACGGTGATTTAGGTTCCGGTATTGTGGGAACGCGTGGCTCGCGCTTTCCTCCTACAACTCGCTGTGTCGTGTTCGCCTGGGTTCGGCTTGTGCTCCTCGTCCCCAGTTTGCCGTGTAAGACGGCCTGTTCTCACTGTGCTACGCCGTCTCTCATGGTCTGACTCTGCCGCCTGTTCCCTCCTCTTCCTCCGTTGCCGCCATCTTCTGCCTCCTGCCCGCTTGTGTCCAGTTCGCCCTGCAGCGCCGCCGCTTAGGCTGCGGGCGCGGTGCGGGATCGCCACCGCTGCGACGAAAACGTGGCTGTAGTTTTCAGCGTGATCCTCCCAGGTCACGTCCAATGGATCGAGTCCGGTTCACTGTGGTCTTCCCCTTCACCGTTCCCACGCGTCGTGCATTCTGAAGGTCGTAAATTTCGCGTGTTGCTAGAAGTGCCCCTGGCCCAAGGTACCCCCAGCTTTTCGCTCCATTTTGGAGCCCCCGGGGCCCTCTGGGCCTCGTGAGGGGTGCCCTGGAGGCCGCC